AAATCGTACTTAAATTAAAAATACCTGGAATGATCTGGTATTTGAATAAAAGAATTAGGACCTCCATTTAATGTTAATGCTCAAAACAAATTTTTTCAGTCGCAGTAGTAATTATTAGCCTGTAATTAATATCTCAATAGCTTAATAAAAAGGTATATCCGCAAAGCAGGTATTCTGTTTTGCTGTTTTGCATTATAAAACAACTGCAGTTATATCTTAAATTGCAGAGTAACAAATCCTTTTTTTGGAAAATCTTTTACTGTAGGCTTTATTTTAACATTAAATAAATGTTAAGCTTGTAACTTGTAATATATTCATAAACTATATGAAAGGATGATGAAAGGACTGGAAAGCAAATCCTATGAGTAACAGTTAGAAGAAGGTTGAAAGGGAGCCTTCAAATATCTGGAGGCTGTCACACTGTAGAGGGTTTAAATTCTCACTTGCTTCAAAGGGTAAGATTAGAACTAATGTAAGGAGGTAGATACTGATCAGATATTAGGAAGAACTTCACAATAAGAACTGCCAATTGGTAGAATAAATTACTGCCTGGAGTAATTTCTTCCCCTTCACTGGAGGTTTTCAGGGATTGTTTAATGAATCTTGTACTTGTATCATCTTTCAGGGATGGTTTAATGAATCTTGTACTGAGCTGCTTAAATGCCTTCTAATGCTATCATTCTGTAAAAGAGAAATTACATACTATATACATCTGCATATATACACATTCATTTGTAGGCTAGTCAAATGACAAAGGAAATAATAAAAGGATGAGGATCATATCATTATCTGCTTATCCTGCAGTTCCAACTATTGCATTTGAAATTACAAAATCCAAATCAAGGAAGGAAGAAGTTAGAAGGCGGCTGTTGGAAGAAGAGAAATGAAAATAATTGACAAATGCCAATGTACAGTATACAAAATATTTCTATCTCTTTTTGCTTGCATACAGAACTGCATACAATGCATACAATACAGAACATTGCATACAATGTTCCTAGTTTTTGTTTATCATTCTTTGAAGGAGAATAGGATAAACAAAACATTGCCCAGGAAGCTATTTCCAGAACTGACACATTTTGCCTTGATAAGGTCATGCAAATAATTGTTTGTTGACTAGTTTGCTAGTATTTAGATGGAACTCCTATCCAGCAGGACTCCGGAGAGCATTGTTAGATGCCCTTTTCCATGTTCCCCCAAATATTTCATATCTGTAACTCTAACCTCAATCCAAGGGTTCAAACACTGGAGTAAAGGTAAAATGCAAGACTGATCTGTTGGGAACAAAAAGGAAATAAGGCAGGGGTGAAATCTAAAATTTTTTGCTACCGGTTCTGTGGGCGTGGCTTAATTGGTGGGCGGGGCTTGGTGGTAAGGTGACTGGGTGGGCATGGCCAAGTCAATGTCACTTCTTTGCCCTATTTTAACCTACAAAACACAACACAACTGGCTCACCCACAATGTAAAAGCAGCTGTGCTAGACCCAAAATGGCCCCTGCAACAAGCAGGAACCTCACACAGCCACAAAAAGCCCAAAAAACCAACTTTCACACTTCACACACACAAAATTCCACAAACAGCTTTGTGAGATTTTGTGTGTTTGTGTAGTTAGAGTGAAACACTACAGAAACACACTAAATCTCAGAAACCTGCACAAATATTATTTTGTTTTAATTTATTTTTATATAAAAGCAGCTAAATTTAAAACTTCCTAAACTTTAAATGGCTAGGTCTAAAAAAAGAACAACTAAAAAATACCCCAATTAACTATTTTTTTTAAAGCTCCCAAAGGGGAAAAAACTCACCCAACAGAACAAGGGTCTCTAACCTTAAACCTTAACTCCAACTTTAAGACTTGTGGACTTCAACTCCCAGAATTCCTCAGCCAGCTTTGGTGGGAGTTGAAGTCCACAAGTCTAGGCAGGAAGGCAGGCAGGCAGATAGAGCTGCTCACCGATGAGCTTGATTGCAGGCAGGGAGATTCAGTTGCTTGCTGATGCAATGGATTGCAGGTATTACAGCAAGCGAAGCAAGGCAGCCGTTGCGACCAGCAGCTAAGGTAAGCAAGCTGGAGGCTGGGGGGGGAGGGATTTTTGCTACCGGTTAGCAGGCAACTCAGCTGGGATCATCAGAGCTTGGCTCATCAGAACCATTTAAAAGAAAAAAAAATTTTCTTTTAAATGAGTCCCTTTTAAATGGGTTAAATGGGAGCCATTTAAAAGAAAAAAAAGGCTCTGATGATCGTGCGGCTTAGCTGGGCATGGGGGGGGCGGGGGCAGGGATTTTTGCTACCGGTTCTCCGAACTGCCCACCGCCATCGCTACCTATTGTCTGAGCCGATCTGAACCGGGAGCATTTCACCCCTGAAATAAGGATGAATATCATACCACAATATAATACTGATTTCACTGAAAAAGATTTATTTCTGTCCATTTAGAGTTTGTCATACTTTAAGAACAAGAAAACTATTAAGTAATTTCATCATCTTTATAACAAAAGATAGGCAGCTACTATTCTCATTTTACAAAAAAAGAAAAGAGATTAAGAATTTCCCACAATTTCTCAGAAAATTCATGTACAAGTTGATATTTCAACCCAGATCTGCAGTTCTTGATTCCATAACATTGTAGATTCTTCTTTCTGTCACTGCATTCTTCCTGCACACAACTCTCCCTCTGAAGAAACTTGGTTACATTTCAGGATGAACTGAATTCTATTTAGGCACTAGTAAGAGGCAACATCAAATCCCCTGGATAAAGTTTTCAAAATAAAGAGACTCACCCACTCTAAAGAGAAATTCTGAATGAAGCAATAACACTAGGACTTAGACTTATATACCACTTCACAGTACTTTTACAACCCTCTCTAAATGGTTTACAGAGTCAGCATATTGCCCCCATCAATCTGAGTTCTCATTTTACCCACTTTGGAAGGATGGAAGGCTGAGTCAACCTTGAGCCTGGTGAGATTCAGTCTGGCAAATTGCAGTCAGCCGGCAGTCAGCAGAAGTACCTTGCAGTACTGCGTTCTAACCACTGCGCCACAGCGGCTCTTTCACTCATCAAAGATTTTTCACCAAAAAGCCTTGCAAGGCATAATATACAAACAGTGTCGCTTCCATTCAAGCCAAGAAGAAGTATACATGCCATTGTAGGCAACAAAAAGAATAAGAATAGGCTATGATTCTCTCCCAGACCAACCTTAGATGAAATTGTCCAACAACTATCAACCCAAGCTGTGGTTAGATGGAATAAGGACCAGAGCAGCACTTTGCCAGGAAATATACAAATATACAAGATCAGATCCAGATAGAGCCTGGATTAAAAGTCATTCAGACTTCTTCATTCTTGAGAGTATCAGAATCTGTGAAATCATACAATTAATGTGCCCGAAGTTGATAATCTGGGGGAAAAAAGTATCAAATAAGTTAAACCTAAACTCCCATGTAGCAAGGAATCTCCTTGACTGCAAATAGTTCTATCTCTTTCAGAGGTGAACTTGCAACGTTTGCTGAAAAATGAAAATTTTCACATATTGAGACTTATGAAGTCCCAAAGTTTTCCTGTGGAGTAGACTATTATTATCTAAGTATCTTGCAACCTCACAATTACCCCAGGAAAATATACAATTTTATTAAAAGTCAACATCTGGAAAATTTCCTCTAGATCAAGGCTAGCATGATCAACATGATGGACATTACCTTGGATGTGAAAGTACTACTGCATACACACTATGGAATTATGTAAAACCCTTTTTGTCCAAATGAAAAAACATTTGGACAAAATTAGGCTGTAAACAGCAAGTTCTTATAACAAGACAGGGCAAGTTTTCCAGAAATTTTTACTCTTAAGGCAGGGATGTCAAACTTGTGGGCTGGATGCATCACGGGCTGGCCACGCCCGCATTTTAGTCGCAATACATCACATAACATGACACCAAGAGTTTGGCACCCCTCCTCTAAGGGCTTTGATCATATGCTTGCTGCAAGTATTAACTTCTCATCAAGGAGAAGTTAATATTAGAAGGAACATACATGCCTACAGTCCCTGTTCTAATGTTCCCTTTTATTCGTATCCATTTCATGTATTCAAATCATGATTATACTTATATATGTTATCTAATACATGCTTGACTAAATAAATAAATAAATAAATAAATAAATAAATAAATAAATAAATAAGAATCAATTAGATATTCCTGGGAAACCTACAAGCAAAACAGTATAGCAGCCCCAGTTCATACCCTCCAGGACTGAATGCCAATTCTGATGCCAGGAGAACTACATAGGCATCAGAACTAATAGGTATTGATAGTTCTTAAACACTGCAAATTTGGCCTACAAAGCGGGATAGCATAGATGCAACCATTTTTGCTGGCTTCATATTTTCTCATTTCAAGAGTCTACCATAAAATAGGATCCCATACATTTACAATTCCAATCCAGAGTTCTGCAGAATAATCATCCATATTCTAGAAAAACAAAAGGATGTGGTGGGAGGAAATAACACATATTTATTGAACTGATAATATATCTAAATCTAGATTAATGGCTACTTGGTAGTTAAAATTTGTCATTCCTCCTCCAGGAAAATGATACTGAGTGTAGGAATTTCTATAAATCACACCACTTCATCTGTTCTGGCTTTGTATTTCAACTCCTATGAGTACAGAGGATTATTTCATAAACAAAAGGGTTAGGGAAAATATTAATTCTCTTTCATGGCATGCAGATTAACTGTAACTCCCACATGCGTGACTGGACATTTTTTAAATATTGATTTTTGCACAAAACCAAACCAGAAAGCATTGGTTGGCAAAGATAGTTCAGATAGCTACCAGAAAGAAGATTAATAAGTCATGCAAATGGTGGTTTTCTTGGTTTCTGGAGCATATTTGAAAGTTAATGCTATAACTGTGCTCAATACTAAATTTAGTATGCTGGGTTAATGTGATCAGTATCTAAATATAAATCCAGGCTCCTCATGGGCTTTAAAGTTTACCTCCACTCTGGGTGATATAGCGGACCCATGGCAGAGCCTGGTACCCACTCTTTTCAATGATCTTCATGTACCGTACCTGGTCAGAGTGAGATAATAGATGAGAAAAGAGAAGAAAGAATGTGCATTAACTATCTTTAATTCATTCAGATTTGATGGCATCCCAAGGCTTCCACTGAATTTTAACTTCATACTATAATGTGATCAAAGCATCTTTCCCTCTCCAGTTTAGAATGATAATAATCCCATGTATTTGGCATATATAGTAATTTGAATAATTGTGAAAAAAATTGCAGCAACTAATAATAGTGACCTGTTCTTAACTGCAACCATCCGCAGGTTATACATCTGAAGGTTATACAACCTTCAGTCATCCTAGCTTTCTTTTCTCTTCCTCAATACCGCCTGATTTTATATCCGTGGTTTCGGGGTGAAGTGTCATCTGTATGCTGATGATACTCAGCTGTACATTTCCACCCTGGACCACCCCAACGATGCCCTTGATGTGATGTCCCGGTGCCTGGAGGCCGTGCGGATCTGGATGGGGAGAAACAGGCTCAGGCTCAACCCGTCCAAGACTGAGTGGCTGTGGCTTCCGGCATCTCGATATAGTCAGTTGATACCATCGCTGACTTTTGGGGGTGAGTCATTGGCCCCCACAGAAAGGGCTCGCAACTTGGGTGTCCTCCTGGATACACGGCTGTCTTTGGAAAAGCATATGACGGCTGTGGCCAGGGGGGCTTTTTATCAGGTTCGCCTGATCCACCAGTTGCGTCCCTTTCTGGATCGGGATGCCTTACGCACAGTCACTCATGCCCTCATCATGTCCCGCTTGGACTACTGTAATGCTCTCTACATGGGTCTCCCCTTGAGGAGCACCCGGAGGCTCCAGCTGGTCCAGAATGTGGCCGCACCGATGGTGATGGGGCGACTCAGCGCTCCTATGTAACACCTCTCCTGCGCGAGCTGCACTAGCTCCCAGTGGTCTTTCGGGTGCGCTTCAAGGTATTGGTTACCACCTTTAGAGCGCTCCATGGCTTAGGACCCGGGTATTTACAAGACCGTCTTCTGCCGCCAGTAGCCTCCCACCGACCAGTATGCTCCCACAGAGGGGGGCTCCTCAGGGTGCCGTCGGCCAAACAATGTCGGTTGGCGGCCCCCAGGGGGAGAGCCTTCTCTGTGGGGGCACCTACCCTCTGGAACGAGTTGCCCCCGGAGATACGGCGGATCCCGGATCTGCGCACTTTCCACCGTGCCTTAAAGACGTTTTTGTTTCATCAAGCCAGGCTGACCTGACCATACTTTTTAAATTGCTTTAATTTTAAATTGCTAAATTATGGGTTTTAATATGGGGGTGTTTTAACTGAGGGCCAAATTAATTTAATTGGTTTTTAATATTGTTTTAATTTTTGTATTTTCTGTATTTTATCTGCTGGCTGTTCACCGCCCCGAGTCCTTCGGGAGAAGGGCGGTATACAAATATAATAAATGTAACATAATAATAAACAGTCCTGAGGTAAAAAATGTCCCTATTCCCACTTCTCCATCAAATCTGGCTTACCTGAATCCCAGAGACTGTGAAGTAGGGGATTTCAAATCGGACCGAGATGGGTGGCCGACCTTCCAGCTCCTCGTTCTCAACACTGGGCAGCCCAAAATGGGCTCGCATCAAATATTCTTTACCACCCTGCAAATACAAAAGAGTCTTTCCTGGTGATCTGAATCCAGATTTCCTGGCTAATTGTTTCCACCGTCTGGCTCTAACAACTAGAAGACAAACCCTTACCACCACTATTGCCAGCTTTTATCATAGCCCGAGCTCCATTGTAATCTAGTTGGAAGGAATTCATTACCTATTATAACACCCTAGCAGTGGCTCTTACAATATTTGTCAGAGACTTCAAGATACAGTTAAAAGCTCTCCAATAAAATAGTGCCCCAGTCCAGGATTATAAGAAATATTTTTTATAAATGGAAAAATAAGATCATTAATTGAAGCAATGTTAAGAAATTAGGATTTGAAAGGTGGATAGAAAGGTGGATAGGGGTCAGGGAGGGGGCTAGATTCCATACTGGTGAGGGCTGTTCCATCGGTACTGTGGGTGGGAGGGGCAGATATGGTGGGAGCAGGGAGCCATATCGTGTTGTGGGAGTGCGCACTCGCTATCTTTGAGCGATTGCACGCTCTGGTCCCCAATGCTCTTCTCGTTCCCTGGGTTGCTCAGACCCTCAGGGCCCGGGCCTTTGGTTGATGTTGTACAACGCCAGGTCCGTTGTAAATAAAGCTCCCCTCATCTGTGATCTGATGCAGGAGGGGGGTGCGGACCTGGTGGGTATTACAGAGACCTGGTTGGGTCAAGGGGGGGGTTCCCCTCGTTGAACTGTGCCCACCAGGTTTCCGTGCATTCCATCGGCTGAGGGCTCAGGGAAGGGGCGGGGGGGTGGCGGTTGTTATTAAGGAAGGTCTTTGTCCGAGGGAGGCCACTGTACCTCAGATAGCCAGATGTGAGTTCCTTCTTGTGAAGTGCGGTCGTGGGGTGCAGATGGGCCTGCTGATTGCGTACCTGGCTCCCTGCCACGTGGCAGCGGCCCTGCCCGAGCTGCTCAACATGATAGCTGGGGTGGCGGTTGATACCCCCAGATTTATGGTCATGGGGAACCATCTGCCATCTGTCGGTTAAACATCTGGGGCAGCTCGGGAGTTCATGGCTTCCATGACGGCTAGTTAGTTCATGGCCCTACCCACCCGGGGGGACACACTCTGGACTTGTGTTTTGTCTCAGGTCAGTGGTTGAATGATCTAGAAATAGGGGATATAGTTATTGAACCCTTGTCATGGTCAGATCACTCACTCCTTCGACTAGACTTTCGTACTGCCACACCTCGCCGCAGGGAGGCGGAACCGACAAAGTGGTTCCCCCCACCCCCCAGGCACCTGATGGATCCGGATAGGTTCCTGATGGAGCTTGGGCCATTCCCTGAGGTTCTGGCTCACGACTCGACTGAAGAACTGGTGGCTGCCTGGGATAGGGCGGCCGCTGGAGCTTTGGACCACGTTGTGCCTTTGCGGCCTCTGACCCGGTGCCGATCCCAGGTGGCTCCCTGGTTTTCTGAGGAGCTAAGGGAGATGAAGTGCCAGGAAAGACACCTGGAGAGCGACTGGAGGGCCAGCCGCTCCGAATCTGACCGAACACTCATATTAAGATCTACCTAGTGGTGATAAGGGCAGCAAAATCAAACTATTTTTCCACTCTTATTGCGTCTGCAGAGAACCGCCCAGCAGCCCTGTTTAGGGTGACCCGCTCCCTTCTCCATTTGGGAGCAAGGGAAGACCCCTTGCAGGGTAGGGCTGAGGATTTTGTGCAATTCCTGCATGATAAAGTCACTCAGGCCTGGACTCTGACTGGGTAGATTCAGATGGGGTGACGGAGGTGGGTCTTGAGAGTGTTATCTGGGAGGGATTTGACCTTGTGACTCCTGAGGACGTGGACAGGATTCTGGGGAGGCTTAGCACTGCCACATGTTTATTGGACCCGTGTCCCTCCTGGTTGCTGCTGGCGTCCGGGTGGTTACACGAGGCTGGGTCCAAGGGATTATTAATGCTTCTTTGAGTGAGGGTTTCTTCCCTCCCTCCCTGAAAGAGGCGGTGGTGAGGCGCCTCCTCAAGAAGCCTTCCTTGGACCCGGCTGTACTAGTGAACTATCGTCCAGTCTCCAACGTTCGCTTTGTGGCGAAAGTTGTTGAGAGTGTGGTGGCACGACAACTTCCCCAGTACCTGGATGAAGCTGTCTATCTAGATCCGTACCAGTCGGGTTTCAGGCCGGGGTACAGCACAGAAACGGCATTGGTCGCATTGGTTGATGATCTCTGGAGGGCTCGGGACAGGGGCTGTTCCTCTGTCCTAGTCCTATTAGACCTCTCAGCGGCTTTTGATACCATCGACCATGGTATCATGCTGTGCCGATTGGAGGGGTTGGGAGTGGAGGGCACCGTGTTGAGGTGGTTCTCCTCCTTCCTCTCTGACCATACGCAGTTTGTGTTGGCAGGTGGACAGAGGTCAACCTCGAGGAACCTTGTTTGTGGGGTGCTGCAAGGGTCGGTCTTCTCACCCCTTCTGTTCAACATTTATGTGAAGCCGCTGGGTGAGATCATCCGTGGTTTTGGGGTGAAGTGCCATCAGTACGCTGATGATACTCAGCTGTACATCTCCACCCTGGACCACCCCAATGATGCCTCCGGTGCCTGGAGGCCGTGCAGATCTGGATGGGGAGAAACAAGCTCAGACTCAACCCTTCCACGACCGAGTGGCTGTGGTTTCCGGCATCCCGATATAGCCAGCTAGCTCCATTGCTGACTATTGGGGGCGAGATCTTGACCCCCTCAGAGAGGGCTCGCAACTTGGGTGTTCTCCTGGATGCACAGCTGTCTTTAGAAGACCATATGACGGCTGTGGCCAGGGGAGCTTTCTATCAGGTTCACCTGATTCACCAGTTGCATCCCTTTCTGGACCGGGACAACTTGCGCACGGTCACTCACGCCCTCATCACGTCCCGTCTGACTACTGTAATGCTCTCTATATGGGGCTCCCCTTGAAGAGCACTCGGAGGCTCCAACTGGTCCAGAATGCGGCCGTGCGGGTAATTATGGGGGCGACATGGCGCACCCATGTAACACCTCTCCTGCGCGAGTTGCACTGGCTCCCGGTGGTCTTCCGGGTGCGATTCAAGGTGCTGGTCACCACCTTTAAAGCACTCCATGGCTTAGGACCTGGGTATGTACGAGATCACCTTCTGTCACCGATAGCCTCCTACCAGCCAATATGCTCCCACAGAGAGGGACTCCTCAGGGTGCCGTCGACCAAACAATGTCGACTGGCGACACCCAGGGGGAGAGCCTTTTCTGTGGGGGCACCTGCCCTCTGGAATGAACTGCCCCTGGAGGTTCGCATGATCCCCGACCTACATACCTTTCGCCATGCCCTTAAGACTCTTTTGTTCCAACAGGCTGGGCTGGCTTAAAAAAATGTATTTTAAATTGGGTGTTTGTAGCTTTTAACATAAGGGCCAAATTTATATATTTATTTTAAATTGCTTTTAAATTTTGTGAGTATATGTTTGTTTTAATATGGCTGTACACGGCCCTGAGTCCTTCGGGAGAAGGGCGGTATAGAAGTTTAATAAATATAAACAACATAAACATAGTGATACTGTTTATATATTAAGTATTAAGATGATATTAAGATAAGAGAAAAAAGTAGAGGAAAAAAAATAATATGGCAGAAAACGAAATATGTAAATTGTATCTGGAAAAAACAAAAAAGAAGATTGGAATAGATTATAAAAATCAATATATAATTATGTTATAAGTTGTAAAAGATGTGACCTGGTCAATACTCTGTTCATAAAATACTGTATGTATGTAAAAGAAAAATTTAATAAAACTTGTCTTAAAAAAATAGTGCCCCAGTCCAAATTCAACAAAAGAACTATATAACTTACTGAATGTTCCTGATAAAAGTCTAACTGATTGGAATATACTACTGATATGAAAGATGCAGGACACTGATCAGAGAAAAACAAAAGGAATTTTTCTTACTGGGAAGGACTTTATATTCCAGACAACAGTATTCTTTTCAGGCAGATATTTTGCATTGCCAATGTTGGTTTTGAATTTGGGTGAGTCAGCATCACTTGGGACAGGCACACTTATCTCCACACCATTGGCCACTGATTGTTTTTTGAACTGGCCCTTTGCCTTTTAGAGAAAAAAAAGAATAAAAAATGACATTTGGAAAAAGACAGATTTCCCTGAAGAATTAAGTCTCTGACACAAGAGAAAGATCCAAAATTCAAGATGGCTTGGACTCATTTCTTTTTATCTAATGAAGACAGATATGCTCTTTTCTGCAAATTCCATACCTTTAGAACATAGAACATACTGCAGAGTGTAGAATCATAAAGCTGGATGGGGTCTCAGAAGTCTTCTAGTTCAACCCCCTGCTCAAGCAGGAGCCTTACACCATCCCAGTCAAATGGTTGTCCAGTCTATTTCTGAAAATCCACAATTTGGGAGGCAAGCTATTCTTGGATCTCTCTTTATGCTTGCCAATTTGAATCAATCAATAACATTTACAGGAATAAAACATAAAGAATGTGCATTTTATTAGGATCTAGTCTTTTTTAATTTTTTTACAGAGGAATGATGACATTGGTCAAAATAATTCACCTTAACCATAATCTCCACTCGACTGTGAGAGAACTTCTCAATGACAGATTCAATCCAGATGAGAGGTTTCACCTTGTTGGGATGGGGAGGGGGAGAGAAACAATGAAAGACATGCATGAATTTCAAATCTTCCAATATAATAGAGGATGTAGAATAGTCCAAAGATTATTGCATTAAATATGATGAAACTGATCATCTCCTTGGAGTTCTGTTATAATTAGAACTCCATTAGTTTTAATTAAACCTGCACAGTTGAGCAGCCTTATTTAATGTAACAACCACAGAGGTAATACTCTATGAGACATAGTCTAACAATAGCAGCAATAGCACTTAGATATATATATCACTTCACAGTGCTTTACAGCCTTCTCTAAGCAGTTTACAGTGTCAGCATATTGCCCCCAGCAATTTGGGTCCTCATTTTACCCACTTCGGAAGGATGGAAGGCTGAGTCAACCATGAGCCTGGTGAGATTTGAACTGCCAAACTGCAGGCAGCCGGCAGGCAGCAGAAATAGCCTGCAGTACTGCACTCTAACCACGGTGCCACTGTGGCTCATCCATCAACAATCATTTATAGAGCTGCTAAATCATTTTTGAATGCAGCAGCATAGAAATATGTTTAAGTAAAATCATAAAAGAATGGCTAATTTACTTGTCAGCTGCAAAAATGTCATCAATACTATTTTAAGAACTGATAAGGAGAGATAGTCCTGGGCGGCAAAACTGCACGGCTATCTTTAGCTGAAAAGTATTGTATTCTATTTAGCAATAGCTCTTAGATTTACTGTATATACAGTACCTCCCCACAGTGCTTTACAGCACTCTCTGAGCAGCTTACAATATAAGCATATTGCCCCCAACAATCTAGGTCCTCATGTTACCAATCTCAGAAGGATGAAAGGCTGAGTCAACCTTGAGCCCCATCAGGATCAAACACCAGGCTGTGGGCTGTGCCCACAATGCTGCATTCTAATTACTGCAGCACCAGACAACATATTTTATTTAATTTTATTTTGCTGGGGAAATGCTCAGAAGAAGAAAAAAGTGCTGGGATTCTATCCTAGAGCATATCTAATTATCTTGTGTAACACTGACTTCATACTTTGCATTAAACCATATGACTCTTTTTGGACTGGCTGCATGAGTTATATGCATGGCTGGCTTGTTGGTGCAAAGAGCCCTGACACTATATACAGCCATTACTAGGCATTTATCATGCTTGTAAATTTTTTTAGATATCTCAATAGATAGGTTTCTGATTGGCAAAGAAAAAGGAAACCATTAATTATCTGGACATATTTTTTGTTGTTCTCTCCTTACCAAAATAAAACCTCCCTTCCACAGCAATTTCTACTATTTTATAAATAGGCAACTGCCACACTTGGACATCAATCATTAGCAAAGTTTAGGTGTTATCTTGGTGAATCCACAAGCAAGGGAGGGATACCTATCTCAGCAGAGGGAAGGTGGTACATGAGATCATGCTTCTGAGTAAAATCCCAGGATATTTTTTTTCTCTGTTCCATTTCCAGGAACACTTCAAAGATCTACCTGTGTACTCAGGCGATATGACATAAGCTCAAAATCTCCATCAGGTGGAATGAAGGAAATAGTACGATCATTGTCAAAACGTGATAGTCGCACACACTGGTGGAACTTGACATCCTCGAGTTCTACAGATTTATTTTTTCCACCTGAAAGTCAGAAATATAGAATATATATAATCTCTGGCACACTTTCAGCACTAGATGTATTAAGAAACAATTGCCTGTTTTTGGTTGGAAGCTTCACAAAACTTTAGGTCTTCAATAAAAACGAAGTTTCACAAAAGAAAAGAAAAATAATGAGCCCTACTTTCTGATAATCAAATCCTATGAATATGCTGCAAAAGAAACATATAAAGTTATGAACAACTTTGCAGAGGGGAAAACTAAAAACTAAATAAAATTTAACAATACAAAATTCCAATTAAAAATTATAGGATAGTCTATTGAAATTAAACCAAAATGTATGGACTTTTATAGACATTCTCAAAACAAAATTGCAGACTTGCTCTTTCTCCTAACTTTATAACCAATCTGACACATTCCATAGATGGATATGGAAGTGCAAAGACATTATTGATATGAGACTCAAATTTGAGACTCACCTATTATGCCCATTTCTCCCCAAATGCACATGTCATTACACTATGATTTACTTACGTCCTGTGAGCTCAAAAAGGACCCTGTCATTGAGGCCCAGGCGTAGCTCTGGCATACCAGAAAGGAACACCTTCAGTTTAATGGAACCCACTATCTCACTCAGCAGGACACTCCCATTGGCATTAACCTGAAAGACAAAGTAGGGTCTGAGGTCCTCCATTCACTCTCCACACTCTTCTCCATGAGGAAATATGGCTCCTCCTCTTGAACATTGTCATGCTGAAGTTCCCAACAAAACATGGAAACAAAAACTTCACCACCATTAAATCAGAGTGGGTAATGCTAGGAGACTCAAAAGGTGGAGTAATAATGATAAAATGAAATATGAATGATATCAAGTAAAATAATTTTATATTTATTTTAAAAAATTAAACTGAATTGTTAAATTGTCATGTGATTAGTTGTCCTGTGACAAGTTGGCCATGGTGAATTGTCCCACATGACTGTGGCTGATTGTCCAATTCTATCCAGTGATGGAGAACCCATGTCTGAAGGCAAGTCTGATTAATTGTTCTCAATATTAGTAAATTTCTTCTTAGTTCTGGGTTGCTTCTCTCCTTGATTAGTTTCCAACCATTGTTTCTTGTCTTGCTTTCTGGTGTTTTGGAAAATAGATTCTCTTCTTCTTTATGGCAGCCCTTCAAATATTGGAACACTGCTATCATGTCACCCTAGTCTTTCTTTTCACTAGATCAGACATACAGAATTCCTGCAACTATTCTTTTTATGTTTTAGCCTCCAGGCTTCTAATAATGTTTGTTGCCCCTCTCTTTCCAAAGTCTCAACATCTTTTTTATAATCTGGTGACCAAAACTGGATGCAGTTTTCCAGATGTTTTCTTAGTAAAGCTTTATTAAGGTATATTAGTACTTCACATGATCTTGATTCTATCCCTCTGTTAATTGGCTTTTTTGGCAGCGGCTGCACACTGCTAGCTCATATTTGATTGTCCACTAGGACTCCAAGATCCCTCTCTCATCTAATGCTATTGAGCCAAGTTTTACCTAATCTATACCTGTGTCAGATCCCTAAAAGTGATACTGCCATTCAATTGGGAGAAAGGGGGGCTTTGGATTTAATTCATTAATATTGCCTGGTATTTTGTAACTTGCATCCTGGTGCCAAAGCACCCTGAGATCTTCTCACCTCTTGGGGAAGTATAGGAGGGATGGCCATGTGCAATGTTTCATTTGATAGCCAATGGAAGATAGCCATGGGAATGTATGCTTATCCGGTTCTCAGGGCAGCTGGTAAAATAACATCTTCACACCTGTGGATTGGCTAAATTTGCATCTGGCTAAAGGGAGGGGTCTCTACTGCTTTAACTCTACTTGTCTTGCCTAAGTATTCAGACACTGCTTTGAATCCATTGCTGTCACTTCTGCTTAATAAAAGGTTCCCTCTGAAATACTTCATTTCAAGAGTTTACACTTTCTTAAGTTAGGAGGAGAGGCAATCCTTACAACCTGTATGTTTGGTTTTTCTTGCCTAAGTGTAAGACCTTACTTTTCTCTACACTGAATTTCATTTTGTTGGACAGGGTCCAATGTTCAACTCTGTCCATTTGGATCTTGAGCCTATTCCTTCCAGCTTAGTGTCATTTGCAAATTTGATGAGTTCCCCTTTTATTCCCTCATTTAAATCATTTATGAAGATTTTGAAGAGTATTGGGCCTAAAATAGAACCTTGGGATACTCCACTGCTTCCTTCCTTCCATGTAGATATTGAGGACTACATGTTTAATGTGATTTGTCAGTCAACCAATGAAAAAAATGAACTTGTGATTTATGGCTTTGAAGATTAGACATAGAAATTATAGAAAGAAGAGTATCATTATGTACTGTAAATTTAGAGAGATTAAATTGTACTTATAATTGCTGTAAAGAATATTGGAAGCCTGATTTCTCACTGCCCAGCATACTTTCCACTGAGTGCTGTCCCAATGGAGAGCCTGTCATCAAAGTTGGTTTTTTTCCCTATTTTCATGACCGTTGCCGTCATACTCATCATTTTTAACATTTTTTAAAAATGTTTCCACAATACCATAATATAGTAATTACACTTATTTAATTTGTTTCCACTCCTTTTATCTCCATCACTGATCTACTTTCTCGTTCTAAATCTATTCATTCTAAAGGAGTAAATAGCGATAATTTAAATGTAGAGGTATTCTACAAACAGATTCATTATAAGATTCATTCTATTTTGAATCTTATAAATTATAGGATTTTAAATGACATAAAGAATCAAAGATTTATCTGGAAGATATCTATAGTTCTATGATTGTGTTGTTAGTCTCTAAACATTTAATTAATTAATAGTTCGTAACTAGGTTCATATATTTCTATACAATCTGTTATGGATATTCATCAAATATATTTAGAATTTCCTTAAATTGATTCTCTATATTACATATATAAAACTATAAATATATCAAGATCTTCATCTAATCCTGTATATACTATTGAATATACATAAATATAACAGTACAATAGAGTAAAAATAGCTCCAATAATATAAAATTCGTATCAGTTTAATATATGGATGGATATAAATAGTTAGATATAAATGTAAGCATAAATATCAAGTATATATAACCACTATTCACTTATCTTCCTTCTAGGTTTACTGTTAATAAATATAGTCCATTTTCAGTTTATGTCTTATTTATAAGAAAGTCTCTTCTAGAGTTCCTGGATGTACAGTCACCACCGAAAAAGTCCATCTCTGTTAATGCCAAATTTGGTAACTGTCTCTTTAATCCAAGATGTCTCCCTTCTATTTAGCCCAGTCACTGTTATTTCTCCAGCCAGCTTTCTTTTTCCAATCCTCGTATTTTATCCCAATCCTGGTCCAAGCTTGTCATTTATCATTAAAACTCTTCAAAAGATGCCCCTTCAAAGCTTTTCCTTCACACCTTCCATGCAATCAGTCTTTTTGGATATCGTTCACTGCCTTGTCTCCGCTCCCACCATTAAATCGCTGCTTTTCCACCTTCTCAGAGAGTCACTCAGCAGCTGATGTGATACATTTACTCAAAGTCACTGAGAGTCTTTCCAATCTCAGTAACTTTTTTGTCCCTCCTCACCCATATTTCAGGCTGCTTTACCTCTTTTTTCTTCCTACTCCATTCGAATAGTCAGGTCATCACGCCTCTGGATCTGCCATGAAGGCCAATTTCTTTTGCGCCTGATCTGAGGGCTTCCTCTTGTTATTTCGGGAGATCACACCTCTCACCACCAACTCCAAGGTATCCCCTCTGTACCATTGTTCCCTCCGAGAGCCAACATCGCCCTATGGGCCTCAAAAATGTGAAAATTTGGGCAAACTAAACGAAGCCCCATTTGCTTGCTCCGTGCCATCGTGACATCAGGTTTTTCATTGAATCTACAAAGTGTCCAGTCGACGCTGATGATGATTCAAGAAACAAGGATGAAGATGCAAGAGACAATCACAAGAAACCATGAAGAACAAAATGGGTGAAGTGAAAGAAGACATCCGCAATTTAGACTATAAAATTGGTACAATACAGGAGATGATAGCTAGAAATGAACAGAAGATAAAGACAGCAGAAGCTAGAACATAACAAATGGAGAAGAAATTGGAGGAGACAGAAGCTAAATTGATGGCGGTAAATAGAAATCTGGAGGAGGCAATAATACACTTGGAATTGGAGAAATCAGCATTTTTCCTAAGATTTCAAAATATAGTAGAAAGCAAAGAGGAAGATCTCCCAAAACTGATGGCAGAACTACTAGCCTATCCATTGTAGATAAGTGTGCAAAAAATTCAAAACAATATAGATGAAGCATACAGGATTCATACCAATTACGCATGTTGCCACAAACTGCCTTTGTTGTTGCTGTTAGTTGCAAAGTCATGTCCGACCCATCGCGACCCCATGGACAACGTTCCTCCTGACCTTCCTGTCCTCTACCATCCTCTGGAGTCCATTTAATCTCACGCCTACTGCTTCAGTGACTCCATCCAGCCACCTCATTCTCTGTCGTCCCCTTCTTCTTTTGCCCTCAATCTTTCCCAGCATTAGGCTCTTCTCCAGTGAGTCCTTCCTTCTCATTAAGTGGCCAAATTATTTCAGTTTCATCTTCAGGATCTGACCTTCTAAGGAGAAGTCAGGGTTGATCTCCTCTAGGACTGACTTGTTTGATCGCCTTGCAGTCCAAGGGACTCGCAGGAGTCTTCTCCAGCACCATAGTTCAAAGGCCTCAATTCTTTGCCACTGGGAAAACCATAGCCTTGACTATACGCACTTTGGTTGGAAGGGTGATGTCTCTGCTTTTTATTACGCTGTCTAGATTTGCCATAGCTTTCCTCTCCCGGAGCAAGTGTTAGAGACGAGGTTTACAGTAAGACAAGAGATGAACCATTAATCTATAAGGGGAAAGAAATTCTAACCTTGAAGCAAGCACGAAGAAGAGTAAGGGAACAAAGAAGGAACTATCACTTTCTATCTTCACAACTAATACAAAGTACTATTCAGATGGCTCATACCTGGGGGTATGTTAATTATGTGGCAAGACAATAAATTCTGAATAGATACCTTGGACAAGGCACAAGAGTTCTACGACCACTATATAATTGGAGAACAAGAACAAGATAGTAGAGACAACAACTCAAAAACAAATGCTCTTAATGGTAATATACACGCCAAACACAAACCAGAAGAAATTTTATCACAAACTACATCAGAAAATAATACAGTTAGAATGGGATAATTTATGCATAATAGGTGATTTCAATGTGGTGGTGGAGGCTGGGGACAGCGAAAAAGTCACTTCCTGTCCAACCGGAGTTGGGAAATGGGCCATTTCAGGCCTCCGGAGGGCATCCGAGGGGGTGGGGAAGGCTGTTTTCGCCCTCCCCAGATGCATAGAGAGGATCTGGAGCCAGGTGAGAAAGAAAAACAGGCCTACCAGGCCATCACGTGTCAGGAGCTGGGGGGAGGGGGATTGCATGCACATGTGCAGGTGGGGCAGATAGAATTATGGGTGTGGACACACACACAAACCTCCTCCGCCCCCCACTCCTGGCACGTGATGTCAAAAGGGTTAGCCATCACTGGCCTATATGGTGAGAAGAAAAAAGAAAAAGAAAAAACAACAAAAG